GCTGGAGATCTCAACCAACTCTGAGCCTCAATCCGCTTACCTATAAAATGGGAATAATATAAACAGCACCTTGTCTTGCAGGGTTGAGGATTAGAGACAAGGTATGTAAGGTAGCTAACACAAGTCCTATCCTATAGTAAGTAGCTGCTCAATAAATGATTGTTGTTACTGTAGCAGCTGAAATGGTGGTAAGAATAGAACCATCGATCTTAAAGACAATAGGTCCTAGGAGACAAAGAGTCCACCTCATCAAAAAACAAATGGGAGGTGGCTTCAAGCCCACTCCGTGGTAACAAAAAACCCCACTGACTAATCAGAAGAATGGTATTTCTCTACAAAGCAATATGCAGCCCATGGGGGCTGCTGGAATGGAGGGAGAACATTCTAGGCTGCAGTTAGGGAGCCTTACCTGTAAAGAATGAGTTTTGGAAGACGGGTAGGAGTTTTGACAAAAGGACACAGGAACATGGAAAGGGAGAGGGGACACATGAACAGCTCATGCCTGTCCCCCAGCCTCCCCCACACTCCCAGGAATAAAAATAAAACTAATCCCCTTCTCTCATCCAAGCATGTTCTCTCTTGGCCCCTGGCTGATGGGTCTGTAATCCCTCATAAATCTCTATGGCTCTCATCTCAGCTCGGCTTCCCCCAAGGCTCACAGCCAAGAGCTCTGCCAGAGAAAGAGAGGAGCCGAGGAAGAAATCACTGGCTGGTGGAAATCTTACCACTGAAGGATAGCATCTCAGTGAAGAGATTCTCCACTCGGAGCGTTAAGATTTGGTTGTGATCCAAAGCACCTGGCACATAGCAGGGGCTCAAGGTGTATTTATAGAATGAATTAAGCGTTAAAGCTCCAGGGTCCCGAGGATCTCTGATCCCACAGACACTCTAATGGAGAAGGAGGCCAAAGACAAGCCCTTTATGTAGGACACAAGACAGAACAGAAAGAGCAAAAAGTAAGGCTGGCCCCTAAAGCCCCAGGGGATTGATTTCATGAGGTGCTGGCCTTGGAGGGGCCAGTACATCTCAGGTTGTTTCTAGTCCTCCATAGATCAATCACCAACAGGGTCCAAAGTCCTTGACCTCTATCGCTTGCTTCTCTACTATCATTATCTACCTTTGATGGAGGGCAGGGGGGGATGGTTCTCTTTTCATGAAATACATCCTGTGCTTTCCCCATGTGACCATGTACTCTGTAAGGCCAGGGCTTTGTATAGTAATCCTCCTAACACCGTGCCCAGAAGGCTGAGGTCAGAAAGAACGAGGAAGAGCACGCCCGCCACACAGAGGTCAAAGAACACTGGTCATGGCGTCCACGTGAGGCACACAATCCAGGACGCTCCCTTTCTTCCCAGGGGTCTTGACATGCCTCTCGAGAGACTAGACTTGATTTTAACCAGGACTTGAAGAGGGACCCGAGGTTAAGCATCACTTCTGAGAAGCGCCCCCACTCCCCTAACGCCCTGTCCCCACCAGGCCGGCCAACAGGGTCTTCCTCCAGTGGCTTCCATCACAAGGATGGTATCATCGTGTCTGTTTCCTGAGTGTCTCCCGATCTGACTGGGAACTTCCTAAGACCCAGGAAAATGTCTTATTCACCATTACACCCCAGCCCCAGCCCAGGACCTGGGACATAGCAGGTGCTCAGTAAGCGCTAAATGAAAAGAGGGCCAGGTACGAGGTTCCTGGACTGGTACTGTCTGGACTCAGCCGATCCAAAGTTCAGCTAGTGAGAAACAAACAAGAACCGCCTGGTGAGGCAGGCTGGGTGTAGGTGCTGCACATTCCTGGCGAGCCTGTCCCGGTCACTGAAGAAGCAGGCTTCTGAGAAAGCCCCCAGGAGGAGCGGACAAGAGATGAAAGAAATGCAGCAGGTCTTGTGACCGTGGCCTCGGGAAGGTATGCCTTTGGGTGTGGAATGCTACTCCCAGCAGGTCAAGTTTAGGGAGCTCACATTTACTATGGTGGGTGATTATCTTGGGTTATTTCATTTCACCCTCTCAGTGACCCAATGGGAAAGGTATGATGAGCCACTTCACAGGTGAAACTCTGAGAGCCTCACAGGTGCTTGGCTCAGGCTCAATATGAAACAGTCTATCAACCACACACACTCAGGGTTGATGGAGGCCTTACACCTCCTCATCAGCCTCCTTCCTCCCGCCACCCACACCAAGACTCTCCCTAAACATCCAACATCTCAACAAGCTTCTTGTCTCCCTAGCCCATCCTTGGGCAGCTCCAACCACTAAAAATGCTCTTGTGCAGAGTCCTAATTTCTCCCCATCAACTTCACATCTTCTCCTGGTGTCTACACAGAGCAAAACTGATCTGCATGTGACAACCCTCCAGCTATCTGGAGGCAGTTATCACCTCGCCTCCCCCAGGGTTTAGAAAGATGCCCGCAGAAAGACCTTGCATGGGCTGCTCAGTGTGAAATTGGTCTCATGCAGATTAACAAATGTCTTTCCTTGATAAAAGGAATGGAGAGAGAAGATGGTTATCTCCTTGCAGTGAGAGCTATCTGTCTCGGGTGGCAGGGTGGGGAACTGGATTAGAAACCAAAATTTATATAAACCTTAGCAACAGTCTTCACCCAAAACATTAACATTGCCAGAAGGGGCTTCTGAGATCAACCAAACTCCTTGTTTTACGAAGGAGGAACAGAGAAGCAGAGATGGAAAGTGACACAAAGGAACACAGCTATTAAGTGGCAGGGCCACAATTAGTTAGAACGCTCTGAACCAGCAGCCCAGCCCTCTTTGGACAGAGTCACCACCTATCTCCCTGCTCCAAAGCACTAGAGCACCCTGGCTTCAGAATAGTACTCCCATAATTACAGCACTCCCACAATAGCTGTACCACCTACAGTCTCACTTTCCCCACAACCTCAAGAGGTAAAGGGAGGAAACCCAGCATGAGCTCCATGTTACAAAAGGGAACAAGGAAGCTTGGAGAAGCAAAGGGAACTTGCTTGGGCTCCTGAGCAAACTGACTTTATACTTGGAATTCAAAGCTCACGGAAGGCTCTTTGCTGTGTGTTGACAATGGGCTATTGAAAGGGGCCATGGGCTATCTTCCTCTGGAAATGGATCCTTACCTAAGGGGCAGGGAGCTGCCTCTGCCTGCTCTTCAGTTTTGCATTGTTTATGATTGCTGGGTGTGCTGGCTGGGGAAGACCTTCAAAACCATGCTCTCTTCCCTTTCCTCCTCCCCAACCAGCATGCACTAGAGAAAGCACACGGGGAGAGAGGCCAGGACCCTGACCAGCTCTGTGGCCTGGCGGCACCCCCCCACCCAGGCTGAGCTCTAGTTTCCTCATCTACAAAAACAGGGGCAATACTTTCTGCCCTGTTAGTCACTGCGATGTTGCGAGGCTCAGACAACAAAGAGCAAGTAGCAGGCAGGGAGGCTCACTCCCACAATGTCCCTCGTCTCCTCTCACTTCCCCATTGCCCTGCCTCCTCTGCAGCCTTACTACCCCAGAGCAGGTGAATGGGTCACAAAGGTCTCACCCAAGACAAGGGAGGAGAAAGGAAAACAACTGTGACATCATCCTAGTAGTCCCTCACACTTGTATGAGGTCTCTATGTTTCCAAACCGTGTTAACAGTTCGTAGCATTATATGTACCATTTATTGCTCCTCGATGTGCCATGCACCGTACAAAGGGCTCTGCGTGCTCTCTTGGGGTTAATCCTCACAACCACTCATTTCACAGATGACAAAACTTCGCCTCCGAGGTTAACGGAGAGCTAGTAAGCTGTGGGGCTGGGAGGCAGCCCCAGCTCTGCCCAGTCCCTGCTTCCCACGCTTTACATGTTCATGAATTACCTAAGCGAATCATAAGGCTCGGAATCTGTAGGTCCAAACTAGGCCCTAGGCTTCCGCACTTTAACAAGCTCCTGAGTAAATGGACTACTTTGTGTCAAGGGCTAGATTTTAAATTCCGTTGAGGCAGAGCCTGTGTCACCCAGTCCCCAGGGCTTAGCACTGGGCCTGTCCCTAGACTGCACTCAATAATTGTTTGTTAAATGAGTCAACGAATGTCTGACTCAAAAACCTATGTAGGCTTTAACACTTCTCTATTTAAGTCTCATTATGTCATCTGATCTCATAACAAATACCTAAGGTATAATCACCCCCATTTGACAGATAAGGAAACAGAGGCCCAGAAGAGCCAGCAGCCTAAGGTTTTACAGCCTCTGTGCAGCAGGGCTGGAGGTGGGCTACCTTCAGATCCTTTGCCCTAGGGGCTGGCTGAGTGGCTCAGTGGGTTAAGAGCTCGCTCAAGAGTGTGAGCTCTGAGCAACAGGGTCACCAGTTCGACTACCAGCCCGAGCTGAGCTGCCAACAGCTGCCAACAGGTGGCAGGATGGCTCAGCTTAAAAATAAATAAATAAAAAATTTATAATCCAGATCCTTTGCCCTGACCACAGCTGTCCTGAGGAGGCAGGGGACATTAATAATTATAGCCTGCCAAATGAAAAGGAGTTGGACCCATCCTGGCACATAACTAGCTCATAGCTCGCGAGGTCACCCAGGAGCCCTGAGCTGCCCCCAGGGGTAGGGGGTAGCTGGCTCGGCGCCCCGCAGGAGGGAAACAAGGAGAAGGGTAGGAGGCTGGTCCCGGGCACTGTGCCAGGCAGCAGCGGGCAGGTAGTGAGGTGACCCCGGACCTCACGGGGAGCTCCTCTGGGCCTAAGCACGCCCCGCCGATCCCAGCTCTGGGCTGACGCTGTCCAGCTTGGGGGTGGAAGAGGGAGGGGAGGCTAAAGGCATCCAGGGAAAGCGCAGCCTAGCGATGAATCACAGGCACATGACCCGGGTGGGGAGGGGAGGGCGCGGAACCGGCGCGCGATGCGGCCGGGGCTTGGGGAGGGCAGGCCTCGCGCCCGGCCCCCCTGCGACCTGGATGTGCGGTGCGAAGGGAAGCCCCGCTCCCGCACAGCTCCGCCCCCCGCAACCCCCAGCCCGCCGGGTTCCCGGGGGCAGCAGGACTCACAGCCTTCAGCTGCTCCAGCCGGTCCTTCATTCTGCTGCCCGGGCGCCCGGAGGCAAGTGAGCGCGTCCCAGGTGAGCGGCCGGAAGTGGCGACCGGGCCCGGCCGGGGCGAGCGAGCTAGAGGCGCAGGTGGAGGCGGGCGGCGGCGACCGGCGAGGAGGAGTGTCCGAGGCCAAAGGAGGCTCCGCCGCGCCGCCCCCTCCGGCCCTGCCGGCGCCGCGCGCTCCAAATCCGGCTCCCCGGCGGGCGCCGGCGCGCAGCGTTGATCCTCCCGCGGACCCGCCCCTTACCTGGGCCGCTCCCCGCGCTCCTCCTTAAAGGGGCAGTGCCCAGCTGCCGCCCCGCCACCCTCGGCGTCTCTCACTCCACCTGCCCTAGCTCCGGGTCCCTGCAGGGATCGGGGAAGTCCAGAGAGAGGGCCGCGCGCTGGTAGATCCCGCCGCAGGGCCGACGAAGTGCCAGCGGGTCTGTTCGACCTCAATTCCCTCCTTTCCATTCTACAGCCATTCGCCACCTGTGCCAGGCTCTGTGCTACGATCCAGCCTCAACAGGCTCATTCACACGCGAGGCGGGACAACGTTCCACAAAGAACTCTAAGACAGTGTGATTCGTGCTAGGTGGGAGAAGGGGCAACTAATTCCACCTGGGGGAAAGGGCACCCCCCAAAAGGGGATTTGCACAGTCTAGGGGACTGCGTGCTGCAGCGGATAAAGAGTGTTCCTAGAGGAAAGAACGAGATGAGGCGGGACGGGGGCCGGCTGGGAGGAAGGGTTCGGATTTCATGCCGTTGGCAGTCGGGACCCTTCAGAGAAATACAAGCAGTTCAACGTTGAAGTCAGGACACCTGCCACTAACCATTTGTATAACTTTGGGAAAGTCATCGTTTCTCTAGGGGACTGTTTTCATATCTATAAATCAGAGATAATACCCACTTCACAGTTCGCTGTGAGGCCTGTGTGACAGAGAGAGTATGACTGATTCCTAAGATATAAAGCAAAGTTCCAAGATAAAGATGTCTGTATTGGAAAGCTTAAGCCGAATCTTTCCCTGTTGTAGAGGTTCCCAGGTGGGTTGCAGCTTCTGAAAAGGTGGGCGGGTTCTTGCACGGCCCCTCCTTCTTCAGCCCCTGTCCTCCCCCCACCCCCAACCTCTCTACCCTCTTCCCTATTTGTCCTCCTTCTTGGAAACAAACGACATATCCAGCAGAGAGTGGCGCTCAATAAATAGGATTGACAGTCCGAAGATTCAGTTGTCAAGTCAGGAAAAAAAAATCTGCTTTATGCATTCAGGTTAAAGGGCTGTAAATATTTTCCGTAATTCTAGCAGACCTTTGCCCTCTTCTGCGATCTTAGTGCGTGCTTCATGCTGACTTCATCGCCTCTCATAAAGATACGGTCTGTACGCGGCCGGCTGTTTGAACTGCCATTCTCAGCCCTAATCCTCACTCTCAAGTCCTGAACACTTCCTTCTACCGCAGGCGTTCGCTAGGTGGAGTTTCCCACCTTTTGTACGGGGAAGCCTTCTGCGCCCCCTGGTGGTCACAAATGGAATAAGTGAGTAAATCAGAAATACATCCCAGGTCCTTCTCTTAAAAAATTTTTGTTGGGCTAGCTCAGTCCTCGCGTTTCAGGAGAAGAGGGTATCCTGAAAAAGACAGATATGTGAACAACTCTTTACAGTAGAAGTCTGAAAAGGACCATAGGAGATCAATTGCACCTCCACAAGAAAAACAATTCATTTCATCTTTATGGACAAAAATCTTGCGTTACTATCAGCTTTCTACAATTTACAGAATAGTAAAATAGCTACAAGACCATAAAAGATGAAGGCCATTATAAAATCAGATAACCCAGAAATATGCATTAGACAAAGCCTAGCATGCCATAGGACACCCAGTAATTTTTTTTTCCATTTAAATTTTTTCAGTTTTTCCAGACACTCCCAAGGAAGCATCTTCCCTGAATAAGTAGTTCCAATTGTTGTTTAAAACGTTGTTTGTTATACAGAACAAAAATTTCCCCCCCTGAAAATTCCACCACTGTTTCTTGCTCATGTCTTTTGTCCAAACACTTAAGAATTTTAATCTGTCCTTCACAAGATGGGCTTTCCACACAGGAAAAGTCATTATGGGGCAGTAGAACAGTTGCTGACACATAGCCAGGAGGCATAGTTCTAGACAGAGCTGCTGCCACAGAACAGCTGTCAGCTGTCACACAATCTATTTTCTCCCTTTTCAAATAAGGGGGCTGAGCAAAACTAATGATTCCCAAGCTTGTGAAGATCAAGGATATCATATACGAGTATTCTTTATGTTCACTTGCACATCTCTTACTTTGAAAGTTTTCATATCCCTAACAAAATATGTTTACTACGTAATAAAAAAAGTTGGCTTCCTCAAACTCAGAGATACAGAGAACAGACTGGTGGTTTACAGGGGGCCAAACGGGTGAAGGAGGTCACAAGGTACAAATTCCCAGTTATAAGATGAGTAAGTCCTGGGGATGTAATGTACAGCATGGTGACTGTAGTTAACGATACTGTATTGTCTATTTGAAAGATGTTAAGAGAATAGATCTTAAAAGTTCTCATCATAAGAAAAAAATTGTAACTATGTGAGGTGATGGTTGTTAACTAAATTTACGGTAATCATTTCGCAATATATACACAAATCTTATGTTGTGAACATAAGGGGGGGAGTAGGATTTGATTTCTATGAGATGATGTTTCCACGAAGAAAAAAAAAATGACCTTTTGGTTAACCTCTGTGGCCATACAGAAATGACTACACGATTTCCCTTATATTTTTTAAACACTGAAAACAGTGTTTGAACAGTCAAGAGCCCACTTAACTGAAATTGGAGCCCAGAACCCAGGAAGGGAGGCATCCGCCAGGTTCTTTTATTGTGGCATTCTATTTGATGGTAGTTGCTCTGGGCTTCAAGCCTTCTTTAAAACTCCTAGCAGGTATGAACCCTATTTTGTTCATTTTATATTAACATATTAGTATATGCTCTTTCCTGACAGGCAGAGAGCCTGGACGCTACCTGCTAGCTGTGTACAAGAAATGGAAGAAAGTCAAGTCACTGCTCGACATGGGACCCAAGCAAGGGGAGTGCCTGGGCTGCTGAGGAAAACTCTTGATATTCAGCCCAAGTGGTCTATAGGGTCTCCACGTGGGTGGACAGTGACTTACGGATCCAAGCTCAGTAGGAGTCCCTTACTTCTGATGCGTCTTCACTGTTCTGCCCCACAGTGGTGCTACATGTCCTACTCACCGGGTCTTCTTTCCCCATTAAGGGTCAGGATTAATTCAAGTGTTTGCCTCTGGGTTATAAATAAGTCAGCCAGCACTTAATCTCACCTTTACAAACAAACCAAAGATAGCATCCTGGGACTCGGGGTTCCACTTCCCTCTTCTCTTCCCTCTAAGCTTACTGCATTCCCACTGGAGACAAGGGCTGAGCCTTACCACATCTGACCTCCAGAGCCAGCCGTGCAACAGGTGAGACCACTCTCTGGCTGGTGCACCTGGAGGCAGTGTCTCCAGGGTATGGGGTTCAATAGAAAGAGATAAGGGGAGCTAGAGAATTAAAGGGACGATTCTTTCTATTCCCCCATACCAACTCTTCCCCATTGCAGGAAGGATGGAGAATAACCAGGGTGGAGAATAAACTTCCTGACTTGTAGTTTTCACCCCCTTACTGTTTGTATTAGTTATCTATGGCTGCATAACAAATTGCCCTAAAACCTTGCAGCTTAAAGCAACAAACATTGATTATCCTATAGTTTCTGTGATTCAGGAATCCAAGTGCAGCTTAGCTGGGTGCCTCTGTGTCAAGATCTCTCACAAGACTGCAATTAAGGTGTCAGCCGGGGCTATAGTCTCACTTCCTGGCTTGGCTGGGGAAGGATCTGCTTCTAAGGTCACTCGCATGGGTGTTGGACTTAGGTCCTCTGTTCCTCCCTGGCTGTTGGCTGGAGGCTGTCCTCAGTTCCTTGCCATGTGGGCCTTTCCATAGGGCAGCTGGCTTTCATTAGAGCAGCAGTTCTCAACCTGTGGGTCGCGACCCCTTTGGGGGTCGAACGACCCTTTCGCAGGGGTCGCGGGGTACTCGTATGTGGGCGTATCTGCATGTGGGCCTGGAGACAGATAAGAGGAGCGGTGTCTCGGTTCCTAAGACCATCGAAAATATGTTTTCCGATGGTCTTAGGCGCCCTCTGTGAAAGGTTGAGAACTGCTGCATTAGAGCAAGCAGGTGGGGGAGAGCGAGAGGATGAGAAAGAGAAAGATGGATGGAAGGCACAGTGTCTTGTCACCTAATCGCAGTGTGATACTCATCACTTTTGCCGTAGTCTGTTCATTAGAAGTGAGTCACTAGGTTCAGCCTGCACTCAAGACCAGGACAGGAAGACCAGGAGCCATCCAGGTGGCTGCCTGGTACGTAATTCAAATCGCAATCAATGCCCGAGTTACGCTGTTTCACCTCGCAGAGATCTCCTCCCCCATATCCAACCTGGACAACTCTGACCCATCCTCCAGGCCTCAGAGGAGAGGCTTCACCTTCACGACTGACCTGAGTTCCCTCAAGCGTACCTCTGTACACCTTGGACCTCCTCTCCATCATAGCCACCACCACACCCATTACCTGGCCACAGGTCGGCCTCCCGCCCCTTCTATAAGTTCTGTAAGGGCAGCATCCTTGTCCCCTCACTGATGTGGACTCAGACCCAAGCATAGGGCCAAAAATGTACTAGGCATTCAGTGTATGTTTACTGAACTATTAACTGAATGATCTTGAAATACAGCTCCATTAATGTTTTTCTTCTCATTAAAACTCATCAGTGGCTTCTCATTACAAAGAGTAGGGAGTCCACACTTTTCTTAGAATGGCATTCAAACCCTTGCCCATTCTAGCGTCGGTCCCACATACTGTTTGTCATTCCCTGACACACACAGCCCCACCATCAGCTTCACCAAATACCTACCTCTGCTCTGAACCTAATGTGCCCAGGACTTGTCACCTACCTCTGCCTGCCACGTGCTTTTTCCATTTCATGTCTGGCAAATCCCAACTCCTCCCCCAAGACTGAACCTGGCTCCATTCACTCAGGTGGTCTCCTGGGCCTCTCTGCCCACCCACCCCCAACAGTACTTGTTCTGATCTGTTTTTTAGAGCACACCCTGTGTTGTCTTGTACCCAGATGCTTACACATCCATCCCCCTGGCATACCATGAAGTGCTTGGGAGCAATGAC